TGCATTTCTCCAGGGGTAAGCGGAGGTGCATCGGAGTTTTACGGAAACGGCAGCAAATATTGTATAAAGTGAAGTCGCCACACAGTAGTTGTTTTACTCTCGCTGACGAGCTATTTGACAGAATAAACTTCTAAGGCACGTATTTGTGTCGGTCTTATAGCCGCCATTACTTCACTTAGAAAAATGACCGGATGACGTCTCGGAAGAGCGCGTTTTCACACGACGTTACAACATTGTTTGTTTTCAAATTCGGGGAATATACATTGAAGTCGGCAGTTTTACTTTTCTTGGAAAGTGCCAGAAAAGACACTTTAGTAAAGTACTGGTACATGTTCAGAGAATGTACTCCAAGTAAAGTACAAGTTTTCTAGACAGTAGAACATCAAGTACGATGTACTTAGAGTACCTCCCAACACGGCTTGTTTATGATTTTTATGTAAGAACGTTGGGTTAAATACTAAAGTTCCTCGAAAGATCTTCGAATCTTTGAAGATCAGCATATTCTGAGCTTTGAAAGGAAAGGCAACGCAAAAAGGTCACCTTTGCGTTGCCCTTTAGCACGCTATTTTTTGAGTACAGCACAAACTGCGGGAGCACCACATGAGCTTCAGAGAAGTGCTGAATTTTGTTGCCTCTTTAGAGTGAGGATGCAGTGTGTTCACCTCCTGTAGTGGGCGAGAGTTTCTACGTTGGCGAGAAGCGGCGACCAGGCCTTGCTTCAAATGGCTCAAGCCTCATTGAAGTTCGGGGCACAAAAAAAAAACAAAAAAAAAAAACCGCCAGACTACGGCGCTAATCCAGTAGTTACGCGGCCTCTCTTGCGTCGCGTCTGTTCGATCCCCGCGCCTCGTAGCAGTGTTGTTGCAGTGGGAGGCTCGTGAAAATGTTCGGAAGTTTCTTCTCCTCTCCCTGCTTTCCCCCCCCCCCTTCCCTATGTCATACGCCTGTCCCCCTTTGCAAATATGAGATGATCTTCCAACATCTTATCTAGTTTGTGCAAGAATGTTTGTTTGTTGACAGGAAAATCAACCACTAAAATTCGAAAGTAATTTGGTATTTGTTTAAAAGTTACTCGGCAACAGTAATTAGAGTAAACTACTAATTACCAAAATAAAAATGTAATTGAAAGTTACTGAACTACTCAGAAAAGTGTTTAACTACAGTAACTTGAGTAGAGTAGTTGAAGTACGTACATGTCTGCTTTTCTTAGTCATGGCATATAAAAACCACGCCACAAATCACAAGTATGTATCTCGGCGCTCTACCGTCCGCGTACGTCCACGGTTTTCAAGACGTAACACACTCATAGAGAACTGTACCGCCGTAAAATAAGACAAGCATCAAAACACCGCACTTCAACGACCATCGGCACAGTCATCCCTGAAGGAGAGCCGAGTCAAAAAAGTCAAATTGGACGGTTAGTGTTTATACAGCGTAAGGTCGGTCTGCCAGGATGGGGCGACACTGGTTTACATAGATGAGCAATTTCGCAAGTGAAGTACGACTGCTAACCTGGGGTCTTTAACGTGCTCACGCAGTTGTGATACACTACCGCACGCCGGTACGATGCTCATCCAGATCGAAACGGGCAGGGGTGAGGCTCGAACTCAAGATTTCTGGGTTCTGGATCACTAGCTTTCGCTCCACGTGCGTCGAGCTGGGTGTGCGCTTTAGCCACACCCAGCTCGGCCACTGATTCCCCCAGGAGAGCCGAACAGACATCAAAACCGACGGTTCTCAGTATGCCTTGGTTGGACATCCCTGAGTTTTAATTATTTTACCCAACCAGACTGATCTCAGTCCAATGTTTACGTTCAAAATTTTACATGTTTCACCAGACATTAAACAAACACTTTACTTTTTACATGCTTTTAGAGTACGCGTGCGTCATTTCTGATGCTTACCAAGATTATTTTGTTGAGCGATTGGAAAAGCTTCAAGATCAAGCGGCGCGGTAAGTTATAACTATGACACAGACGTTAGTATTTATGAGATAAAATTCATGCTGGGTTTGGAATCCTACTCAATATATGCGCCAACCCTGAGATCCTGGGTTCGAGCCCCACCCCGGCCCGTTTCGATCTAAATGAGCATCGTACCGGCGTGCGGTCGTGTATCAATACAACAATATACTCGACTTATGCTTAAGCCATGGTCCCTCACTCTTCAGTAACATCACGTACATACCCGGCATTAGTGACCATCTCGTCATCGATTTAATTCTCTCTCTCTCTGCTCCTCGTAGATCGCATTACTGCAAATTCTTTCGGAATTACGCGAGAGCTGATTGCGCAGTTATCAACTCTAACGTCGAAGATTTTTATCATACTTACTCAGTTAATTTCTGGGAAAGAACGGTTAACGAAAACTGGACTCTCTTCAAAGATAAAATGATCTAACTAATCGAACGTTTTATTCTACTGACCCCTATTATATCTAATAAAACTAACCCTGGGTACAATAAAACAATTCATCATCAATTCAACAGGAAAAAAAGACTATAAGTGAACTAAAGCTGTCAACACTACGGCTTCTTGGAACGCCTACCACGTATGCGATAGGGCTTATAAATCTGCCATTAATCATGCCAAAAACAAAATTCTATAGTATCGACCTCCCCAACATACTACCCACCAAGCCAAAAACGTTTTCGAAAATAATCAATCCGCACAATCACTTCCTTTGCAATTTGTCGATGACGACGGACTTCCGCTTTCAGATAAATACGGCGCTCTTGCTAATAACAATTTCTTCTGCTCCATCTTTACTAACGAGTACATGCTAAATATTCACGACTCGTCCCAATCCATCCACCCTCTTATGAATCTTATCTTAATTAACTGCAATGGAGTACTTAAGGCAACAAATCAACTGAAGGTGTCCTCCAGCTCCGGTGATGACCAAATTAACTCTGAGGTATTAATGAACGCTAAACACATTTCTTCCACTTTCCCCTGCGACATGTTCTCTCAATCTCGTAAACTCTCTGAAGCTCCATCCAATTTGAAAATTTCTAACGTTATACCTGTCATAAGACTGACGATCACCAATTGATCAGGAACTATCGTCCCATCTCGCTCACCAGCGTTTCATTCAAACTCTTGGAGCATATTCTCCATTCTAGCCTAATAAACTTTCTAGACTCTCGCAACCTCCTTTTCAAGCACCAGCACGAATTTCGCAAGTCTTACTCATGCGAAACTCAACTAACAGCATTTCTAAGTGACGTTTACTCAAATTTCGATTTCAATGTTCAAACTGATGCCATCTTCATTGACTTCCCCAAAGCACTCGACAAGGCCCCTCATCAACGTATTTTAATGAAGCTAAGGGATATTAACATTCACCCCTCTGTACTCGAGTGAATTTCTGAATACCTCACCAAACGCACTCAGTACACTTCTATTAACAATGTAAAATCTGCCACAAGCACAGTAACGTCCGGCGTCCCTCAGGGAACCCTTCTTGGCCCCCTTCTTATTTATATGCATTAATGATTTTCACCATGCCATCACTTCTGAAGTATGTTTGTTCGCCGATGGCTGTGTCTTCTATAAACCGATTAATTTACGCCACGATCAACTAATCTTGCAGAACGATCTCCACCTTATAATTTAGTGGTGTCATGACTTTAAACTATAATAATAGTAAGTCGCTATCTTTTTCCCCACAGTTCAGATGTTCTACCCTCCTCTTACCACCTTTCTAGCATCCCAGTAACTGCTTATTCATCGTACAAATATCTAAAAATTCATCTGACATCTGACCTGTCATGGACCACTCGCACAGCATCTCTCATCGCCGATGCTAACCGCACCCTCGGATTTTTTCGCCGTAATCTCAGCCAAGCTACATCCCTAGTAAAAAAAACTAGCTTATACTACCTTGGTCAGAACTAAACTAGAATTCGCTTCTTCCGTATGGTCACAGTGACATGCATACCTAACTAACAACATGGAATCCGTTCAAAGCAGAGCCCTCCGTTTTATTATTCCGACTATTCCCTTACGCAAGCATATCAGAATTTCGCCAATCAGCTAACCTTGACGCTCTTTCTCACCGCCGCGGGGTGTCTCGTCTTTTATTCATCGGATATTTTATTACAGCAGCCATCTCGGATGAAGTTTGCTATTGCCTCCTTACCGCATTTTGTCTTGTCTCGACCATTCTTGTAAACTCCGTCCGTATTCATCGTCAACCGTCACTCACCAAATGTCTTCTTTACCATTGGCCATTGACGACTGGAACTCACTGCCTGACGTAATTTTTCCCCTATCTGTTGCATAAACAATTTTCGGCAGCCATTAGCTTATTTTTTTCTGACCTATACAAGTTTTTGTTCGTAAATAGTTGCTATTTGTTTGTTTCTTCAAGTGTTCACTCCCTTGTATAATGCCCCTGGACCTTCCAGGAATGATAAGTGATGATGATTAATATATAGAGGACAAAATTTAATATAGCAATTATTCTCATCAGACTTATTATCATAACCCCCGCATTGAACAGCGCGAGTACCCTCTGGAGTCAACATACCTTTCATCGCGATGTGATCACCCAAATAAGTCTTTTTGAATGTATCCCTAATAGAGACTATATCGGTAATTCTTCCTTTGTAAAAATGATAAAAGATTGGAACATGCTGCCACCAGAACGGGTTGGCATTTTAGACAATAAGATTGTTTTCTTGGTTGCGAAAGTACGAGTGCTTATGTTAACCTCCCTGTATTTTTTCTGTCATCCCTACAAAAATATCCTCGAACCGTAGAAGGAATTATTCTAATAATTAAAAAAAAAAACGCAAAACGTATAAGGTTCAAGTCCGCCCTTATCTTGTTCTTACCGCCTACATTGATGTGTTTCATGCAAAAATATATTTCGGGGTGGCTTAAGAAGAAGAATAAACAAAATGAAATATACATGAATTTTGCGGCGGGTCAAAGCATGGTGGAAATAGCAAGGCAAGGGTGGATGCTTGGATCTTCTGCAAATATACAACTCACCCTGAGGTTGGTGCTGATCGTGTTGTCAAAAACGGTGTCACTCATTTCAGCCAACAGCGTGGGCTTTTCCACAACACCGGCGCTGTTCACCACGCACGTAATCTTCCTTCCCGGAAACGATGACTTGATTTTTTCAAACAGTACATCGACTGCGGTTGAGTCGGAAACGTCCACGTTGATAGCCCGGTGATCGCCCTTGTACGAGGCTGTGGAACGAAACGTGCACGGAGAATACAAAACGATTCGGCAGTTCACTTATAAGCCTAATTCTAGCGAGATAAAGTTACAGTAGAATTTTCCTGGAGAAAAACAGATTTGCATTCGGGCTCATAATAAGGGAGCAACAAAGCCAGTCATGCGATCTGTATTGCCTACACCATGGATCGGCAACATTTTGCTCCAGCGGGCCGAATCAACGCAAAAGCAGAAACAGAGTGGGCCGGGTGGTAAATAGTGAAGGGAAGGGATTACCTAACATGAAGAAGAAATATGATGCACAGTGAACTGTTACGTCCAGTGCTGCACGCTGTAATTTGGCAAGACTCTTGAAACTGAGGCTCTGAATCCGTCATTATGGTACAGTCATACTGTTAGTGATTGGTCTTGAGTTGCTTTAAAAAGAGAACAACTTATTTTTTGTCCACTATCTCCTTTTTTTGTTCATTCCTGAAGAACATTGATTTGAGAGTATATGATTATTCGTTTCAGTCGTGTTATTGATACTCTCAATGTGTTTTGTCAGGAGCCAAGAACCTGGAACTAGTCTAAGGTACCCCTAAAATGTTGTTTGGCTTGTTCTCTATTGGTGGCTGCTTGTCGTGGTTGGATAAAGGATGCTCGGGGAATGAAATTGGCACTCCTCCTGATTTTGTTGTGGGTGCTGTTTGCCTTCCCTTTTGTCCTTCTCTTTGTTAGCGTTTTTAATTTGATATTTATTTATTTATTTATTTATTACATACTGCAGGCCTTTTGATAGGCCTTTGCAGGTGTCGGGTGCAAAAGACTTGTAAACCACCATTTCACATGGCTTTCATAATGTTTAGTAATTGACACTCATAACTAACAATCAACGGGCAAAAAAGTTTGTACGACATATGTTCAAAAAGGTTCACAAGAGCACAATGGCAATACCTAAAAAGGATGATCATCAAGTGCTTTATTAAAATTAGGGGCTATGAATATATTGTAAGGGAGGGCGTTCCAATCTGATATGGTGCGTGGAAAATATGAAAACTTAAAAATGTTGGTTCGAGCAAATATTGGTTGAAGAGAAAACTGATGGTGGTTCCTAGTGGCTCTGGAAGATAAGGAGGTTATATATAAACTTGAGTCGACGCACAGCTTGTTGTTATAAAGTAGATACAAGAACTTCAGTCTTGCAATTTTCCTACGCTGTTCCAGGGACGCGATATTGTTTGCCGCTATTCTATTGTTTGTGGTGTTGGCTTAAGGCGGTAAGCTAGGAGAAGCTCCGAGCCAGGAACTAGTTCATGTCTCTCCTAACCAATAATAGAGTCTTTTCATAACATGGATGTTTGGAATTTTCGATCCAAGAAGCCAGGTCAATGGAGCTTGTACAAACCCCTCTATCCACCACTTTTGGATCATCGAAGGCCATCGACAGTGCGCGTTTTTGCAGTTTGGTGTGTTAAAGTAACTGTTGGTTGTCATTTCCTCGGATTCCGTTCTTGCATGGGGCAAAAGCTAATTCGTTAGAAATTTTCTTTACCGTAGTTGTTTTTCTTGATATTGATATTTTCCACTCTCAAGTTTGTTTTTTATTTTATTTTTATTTTTGTGATATGTTCTCTGAATATGTTTAACTACTTAATGCCTCCAGAGTATTGACGTGAGTTTTATAGCTGAGTAGTTATTGACGAATATTCAAATTTATGTTTTAAATGGAAAGTTTTTGAATGCATGACACTGTTAGATGGCATATAGTAATCTAATCGCCCGTACTAGTACATGTTTCTCCACAGGGACAAATAATGTGTATGTGTATATTAAATCTTTCGAAATAAAAGGAAATCTTCTGTAGTATCTGATAAATAAATGATGACTGATTTGTTTCTATGAGAATAAAGACAGCGATTAGTATATATCTACAGCGAACTATGCAAAAGGTTCGGATTTTAAAGGAAATACTTTTTGTTCATCCAAACTTTGCCCCTGAAGGTTTGTTAGTATATGCATACGGTTTGACCTCAATTCTTCAACGAACCTTGGAGCATTTGCAGTGTTTCGTCGGAACCTGTCCTGTTTCTGTCGGCCACGACGACGGTGGCGCCCTCTCGAGCAAGAACCAGGCAGGCGCTCCTGCCGATGCCACTGGCGCCCCCCGTCACCACTGCCAGGCGACCTTCGAGACCCAAAGAACGACACTTGGTTTCCCTGGGAGCCCGGTAGCTGTTAACAGCCGTCCCTGAAAGGGAAGAAATGCGTGTGAAGAGCAACAACTAAATGAAATCACGAATAACATGTTCTTGCTGATAACACTAAAAACTAAAACTAATAAATTTAGATCTTTTATATGCACGTTTTGGTACATATCGGCGCTCCTATTTGAAATGGAATGATAAGCGACATGGCACCACCTGCTGGAGAAATTATTCATTATCACGACAGATAGAAGCAATACGTCTGGTTGGTCTATCTTTATAGAAATAAGTCACTTCATTTTGTCTTAAAAAATAAAAATATGTTTTAATAAAATACTTCGTTGAATTTATGCTGTGAGGCCTTCCCTTTTCATCTTTGGGCTCAAATCGTCTTCCAGAGTCGCTTTTTTGCCAAAGAATGCACCTTCCCATCGCAGGCGTCGAGATTCAAAAAGTCGGAAGATGTCACTCGAATTATTTCGGGCCGTCGGGGTCACGCTACCTCTTAAAATGTGCAGCTCAGGTTCAACAGGCATCTTCCTCATTGCTCCATCTCCATCGCGCCTCAGTGGTTCCGAGTAACCAAATCCCTACTCTTCCCTTTACGGCGACATCCATGGCTCACGAGGCTTAGGTGGAGACCCCCATGCGTGTTTCATGTAGGGTCGTTGTGGCAGTGTTGTACGCGTTTCTTAACAATAGGAAGGAAAGCTGGTTGCCCGTTGATTTTTAAGCTTGGAACGAGTCTCCGTTACTTGTTCCAGTGGTTCGAAAGAAACGCGTTCCTGTTACATTTCCAAAATTGTATCGTGTTGTAATACTAGGGAATTTTCACCAATTACTACCATGTTGCGCTCACCGTACTACAGGAGCCTTTAAAGCGTGCTTTCAAACGCACACACCGCGTTCAGGGTAGCACCCGGGCGCACACTTAAAACCATGCTTCAACGACTCCGGTATGGCGGTACGCGAAACACGGTAGCGGTGTGTTAAAAGTTCCCTTTAACGCTGCACTTTGCGTAATTCAATGAAATATTGCGCTGGATAATCAGTTCATAAATAAAGCGAGCAAGTGAAATGCACACATTAATCTACATGTCAAGTCCCCACGATCGCATTTGTTCCAGGTAATCCCCAGCTTTCTTGTTCATGGGTACATCTTACCCGCTCTCTCCTGCTTTCCGTCAAACGCTGTAAAATATTAATTCAAGTCGAAAAACTGCGTATTTACTTAATTATTTTTTTAATAGTCTGTAGGTCCTTCTGGGTAGGACCTTTAACACTGCACATATGAAAGACACAAAAAACAATAAAATAAAAACTTGCGCAGCAGTGCAAACATATCAAAAATCGTAACTGAAAAAAATACAAAAAAAAACTAGCACAGCAGTGGAAACATAAAAGAAATCGTGAGTCTAATAATACCTAAATTGCTGCTGATAAGGGAGCGAAAACAATCAGGGTTAGTCTCGGTGACGATGCGATCTGTTCAATCATTCCACGACACTACTGTTCTGAGGAAAAAAGAATACAAAAAAGAAGTGCGGAAGGTGAAACGGTCAATCTTGCATGATTGATTAGTACGTGGTGTAATGAAATGCGACTGTGTTAGGGTGCCTTGGCTCAGAGATGATGCACAGTAAATGCGATGAAAAGGGCATAAGCAAGAAAGCTTGCTTCTTAAGACAAGTTCTGGAAGGTCAGCTTTCTTTTTTAATAAGGTGACGCTGGAGTGTTAAGGATACTCAGAAAAAAATAAAGCGCGCGACTCGGTTTTGAAAAGCGTCTATTTCAGTGGTCAAATACGTTTGGTGAGGATCCCAGTTTCTTGATGCGCATATTGTAATATTCCCCGAGGTACTAATTGACAGCCATAATACAAACATATTCAATATAATTTCGTATCATAGGGACGTGTACTTTTTATTCCTAGGCCAGACCATTTTTTAACTGAGTTTTATGGACTCAATTTGCAAGATAATATTATTCCCATTGGCTTACTCTACGCTGACCTAGCAGCCAGGTCGCCCCCCCCCCCCCCACACACACACACACGCACACAAACACACAATACCTCGAACTCTTCGCTCGAAGACGTAACTTCCTAAAGTAAGTTGCTTTCTCATTGATTTTCTGCGAAATATTTAAATTTTGAAACAAAATACACCTAGGTACTATCGCGCACACTATTGAAAAGGACCAATTTGGACATGTCATATCACTTAAATGCATCGGCATTCATCAAGCTGGCAATCTGTCACAATAAACTGATAGCCAGTGAAGCCTCTAGAACTTTTTCTTTATAGAACACTGCCACAGTCAGCATGACTATGCAAACCGTCGTTGTGTATTGTTTTCGCAAACCATTTATTATCCGCCACTCTCATTCTAACCGCTTAGATGCAATTTCAACATGCTTCAATGAAACGCCGGCAGGGTTGATAACTTGCAGTAACGCCCGCATTTTTCCTTCGTGACTGTGAGAGTCGGCCCCGCCATCGCCGTGAATGGACGCGGGAACGGGTCTGAGTTTCTTTTTCTTTTCTGTGCGTGTTTGCGTTTGCACATGTGCGCCCGGGTGTGGGTGGGCTGGTGGCGCTCGTGCGGGCTGGTGCGGGGGACATGGGAGAAAAGAAGAGAAAAAAAGGAGCACGTGGTGTGACCTTTTGGGGGGATTCGAAATTAGCTTCGCATGTAAATAGACGTGTTTTTTTTTTTTTTCTTCCCCCTATCCGCGGAGTCCTGTCTGGTTTACTCTTCCGTCAGCAACCATCAGCTGCTTCCGTCGCCGTGTCCCGGCACAATCTCTAAGAAGGAACATCTTTACTGGCACAGTCGACAAGATTGCGTCAGCGGACCCCGGCGGCGTGATCTTCACAGCGGAATCGGTGGACAGCGACTTGACGCGGCACTGGTGGAGCCTTCTAAAGAGAAGACTGGACCACCGAGCTCCTTGAAGATTGGACCACCGAGCTTCTTCGTGGTGATAGAGCTACCTCGGACCAGAGGCCGTCCCAGCGAGGAACGCCCCAGTCTACAGCTCGGACATCAATTTCGTGCCTGACTATCCTGAGCAGCGGGCTCGGTCTGTGATCTAGTGGCAGTCGTTGACCTTACGGCAAGGTGATTCTTTGACGTGTGCTCGCCATGGATACAGACAGCGCAGAGCGGCGGATGCCAGTTCTAACGCCAGAGCAGAACAGGGGTCGGAAAAGGAATGTTTACGGGCCAGGTGAATCGTCACCTTCGAGTGGATTAGTGGCAAACTCGCAGACACAAGGGGATGGGAACGGAGGAGTCCGATCATACAGCTCAATTGAAAAGGAGATACAGCTTGCAAGGGAGAAAGAACGGCTGTTACGCCTCGAGCTAAAACTAGAACATCTACGCTCAGAAAACCGAACGCGAGCCAGTGGAGGCGGCATGGAGTTCAACCTTCGAGATTAAGTTTTTCGCTTTTCGAGATTGATGAAGGGAGTACTAACTCCCATGCCGTCGTCCGATATATTAGTGCCGCGCTGGTTTGATGGCGTAGAAAATGTCTTCGAGACGTAGGAAGTCCCTGAGCGGCTCAGAGAATATCTTGTGCGACCTTATTTCACGGAGAGCATGCGTGCACTAGTGAATAGGCTTAACATGGGTGAGAGAAGTGGGTATGGTGCGGTCAAATAATGGGTCTTGTTAGAGCTCGGATTGTCGCGAGCTGAGGTCTGGAGGCCCTTTATTGAAACCAAAACTTATCTCAAGGAAAAACACGAGAACCCAAGGCAGGGCATCATACCTGAAAATTATCAGGTGAAGTGTTTTAAGGGGTATTCACACGAGGGAGAAATCCCGGGGATTTCTCCACGACACGCGCATCCCGCGACGAAAATGTCAGGCTTTGCGATGCGCAAAAGCCTCGCGTTTTTGTCTCGTGATGCGCGCGTGCCGGGGAGAAATCCCCGGGATTTCTCCCTCGTGTGAATACCCCATTAAGGGCAAGAAATTGGGACACCTTTCCCGCGAATGCCCCCGGACGAAGACACCAGTCGAAGAACTTCTGTTTCACAAGAAAAGAGTAGACGCCGAGAATGTCACCGTGGAGGAAGATTCCAGCCGTGAGGCCGACAAGGTGGCGACCGAGGTGGGCAAGACCGTCGTAGCAACTTGGACCACCAAGGTCAGAAGAGGTGGGACCCATTGGTCCGCGAGGCGCTTCAGATTCTGTTACAGGCCGACGACACGAAGCGGTCGTCGAAGAACATTCAATGCTGCGTGTCTGTGCAGGCGGACGTTGACGACAGATATGAGCTGAACGTCTCGCGTGCCTGGAAAACGCCTCAGCGAGCCGAGGGTGACCACGACGAGCAGGTGAACGTCGACGACGAAAGGCCGTGCACTTGGCCTAGGCGGCAGGCGTCCCGGCGACCTGAGGACGACCCATGTGTGAACTTCGACAACGTCGACGCCGGTCCCAACATCTTACCTGGGTTGCACAAATTCCTACAAGCCAATAGCGACCACGTTGAGAATATGGGCGCCGGTTACAAAGAAGAACCGAGGGTACCTTCTGGGAGGCGGAAATGCCGGCAAACCGAGGATGGCGACGGCGTGAATGTTGACGACGACGAAGGACTGAACTTATCGCCTGGGCGGTAGGCGTTTCAGCGTGCCGAAGACGGCGATTGCCAGAACGTGGACGACGACGAAGGACCGAACTTACTGCCTGGGCGGCAGGCGTTTCTTCGAGCGGGGGATGATCACGACGAGAACGTGAACGTCGACGACGAGAAAGAACCGAATATCTTGCTTTGGCGGCAGGCGTTCTGGCAAGCTGATAGTGACTACGGCAGGGTAGTGGGTGTCGACAAGAACTCGGACATCTTGTTAGGGTGGCTGACGTCACAGCCGGCCGGTGAAGATGTCAGAGAAAGCGGGGACTGCGACGCCATTGTGGGACCACATTTCAGTGGTCCCACAATATAGCTAGGGACGCCGATGAAAACTCGACCACCTACCAGCCGGCCACGTGTGAGAGAGCTGAGAGTGCAGAAGACATCGA